CATCATTCTGTGTGTGTGTGTGTGTGTGTGTGTGTGTGTGTGTGTGTGTGTAAGAGACAACACTGATGAATTAGGGATAAATAATGAAGTAGCTCGGGGACCGGGTTTGTGATAGCGCGAGGGCCCATCAACAGAGAACACTAATACTTTTGAATGCTATGCTGTTTGATGTTGATCAAGTTCAACTCGGCTGACAGGCCCGAGAAGACTGCGGGGAGCGCTGGGACCCTCCGACACACACGCGCCCGCACACAAAACCTACTCAGACAGGTGAAAGAAAAGGCGCGGGACAATAACGCACTCACTCACACACACACACACACACACACACACACACACACACACACACACACACACACACACACACACACACACACACACTCGCACAGCCACCCGCACTCTCATCCCGACAGTCATTTAAGTTTGAGTAAGAAGAAGTAAAGCCGAATACGTGTATACTCAGAGGCTTTCCATTCAACTTTCCGGACTTCAAGGAACGCACGCTGACGATGCGGGCGGCCATTTTGGCTCGAAGGCCCACTTAAGACATACGGTTTGCTACTTCTTGAAAAATGTCAACAAGCCCGCATCTGTGTCGATTTCTCAGTTATTATTCAAGCTCGCGAGAGGGAGAAAATATTAGGAATAGCCCTCCAGTTCACTGCAAAGCGCAACAAGAAGAATACATTTCACGTTGAATGAATTCCTCTGACATTTTTGGAAGTACTTTTCTTTGTTGTTATCAAATTATCGTCCGGTATATTTTTTTACAAATAACTTTTAACTTTGACATAATGACACAATGTGTTTTCGGAGTGAGAGTCTGCATTTTTAGCACATCGTGATGCTCTTGGATTCAGATTTTCTCAATAGGTCAATGATTATTTTAATTTGGGCTATTTTATCCACCCAGCCCTGGAAAATTGTGTGAAGTTTCATCAAAAGCCTTTCATAGAAACATGACATACTTCAGAAAATGCATAAAATGACGCTTACCCTTTGTTTCCTGAGCAACTGTGATGTCATTTTCAGTCGACAGCAAGTAGCAAAATGGCCGCTTCCTGTGATGGACAAAAACAGGTGGATTTTACTACTCAACTCACATTCCAAAAATGAAATATTCATCAGAGTGTCGGTTTTGACTATTGGGGCTGCATAGAACATATTCTTGTTCAATAAAATTTTGGGGTTGACTTCCCCTTTAATTGGCCACTAAAGGAATGTCTCCTTTCTCCATGACATCGATAACTACTTCACTTTGATTAGGATCACACAATTTGGCATTTTTGTGGCAAGAGACGCCATTTTGAGCGCAGGCCGTTTTAGCGGAAGTGTGTTTAGGCAGCGTTTCCTCACACATGAATCACGCCTGTCCAATTTGTGGATATGAACGCTGATGGCATGTCGCTGCTCCTCCCTGGCTGGGGTCATTTTGAAAGTGTCACCATTTAACTGTGAGGCAAGGGGGGAGGGGGGGGCGGGGTATGGAGTGTGTGTGTGTGTGTGTGTGTGTGTGTGTGTGTGTGTGTGTGTGTGTGTGTGTGTGTGCGTGTTGTTCTCCTTTCCTCCAGCGTTGGCCCGTGCGGGCACCGTCGGGGTGTGTGGAGAGCGTGGCCTCATTATGAAGGAGATAAAGACCGTTAAGGCTGTTTGGTCTTGGGCCGGCTCCAGCCCCTATGGTGAAACACACCTGCTCCCCTCTTTAAAAAGCCCTGCTCCAGTTTAGCTCTTGGCCACGGACGAGTAATGACCTATCCAGGGGGCCGTAACGCCCGCTTCGTTTAGCCTGTCGTTAAGACCCAGAGTCAGCAGCATACTGCGGCACATCGCCGTGCCAAAACTCAGCGCAGGGTGCCCTTGCCAAAAAGAGCCCACGTCAAAGCCTACGCCGCTAGAATACGGAGAAGTAAACTAGCTCAAAAGCCGACGAGACGCGAGGATGCGAGGTCCTCGTCGAGCGGCGGACTGCGGCGCCGCCTTCTCGCGCGACGCCAAAGAGTCACGTTTCAGTCGGATTTCGCTTTTTTTTAGTTCAATAGATGTGGCGTTTGATCTTTAGAAGTGTTGCTTGAAACCGCGGAGAATGTTTTCAGTGGATTACAAATAATTTTAGGGATACGCAATTCAGACATGAATCGAGGTAAAAACTGCTTTAAAAATGGGAGCCCCTTGTTGGCCGCACTCTTGTTTTTGTCACGAATACGCTGATGTGATTCGGCTGCTGTCCGGTGCAGGGGCGAATCTATTCTTGTGGGCGAAAGGGACGCATGCGGGTCAACCCAAAATCTGGAAAATGTATTGATTTGACAGAAAGCTGTCAAGTAGCAGTTTCAAAATAATCAAAATATATTTTAAACTGCTTGATGGATCGGGATTGGAGGGTTTCGAAAATTCAAGTTGATGTTGGCCTTGTATCCCAGTTCTACAATACTTGAGTGCAAGTTTTTTTTTTTTTTAGACTCTCCGGACCTGTGAAGACACTGTCACTCGGCTTTGATAAGCGCAAGTAGATCAGGAAAAAGAGAAAGAAAAAAAATGGGCCCTTGTGCGTCAGCCAATCGGAGGGAGGGGGCTCGCAGATGCGGCGCC